TTTCTTGACTTACCTTGTCTACTTTTACAAAGCACAGCTTTTTTTCACTCACAAACTAGCTGTGATCTTTCAAATGCCACCAAAAATTGCACTTCAATTTCCTCATCTATACAAACCAGATACTAATACCTCATTTAAGGAACCCTGGTGGTGCAAATGGTTAAGCACTCAGCGGCTGACTTGAAAGTTGGTGGTTTGAACCTATGCAGTAGCTCTGAAGAAGAACATCCTGGTGATCTGCTACCATAAGGAATACAGACAAGAAAACCCTATGGGGCAGTTCTTTTCTGTTACATGGGATTGCTATGAGCCGGAAGCAAATTGATAGCACCCAAACAACATTATCTGCTCTAGGTGTCTACCACTTGTGGAACAGATGAGACCCTGAGTGCGAAAGTTCTCGGGAAGGGGGTCATTGCTGCTGCCTGCCCACAAAGTTCCATGTGATGTGGAAGAAATGTTGTTGTTGTTGTTGTTGTTATGTGCCGTCGAGTCGATTCTGACCCATAGCAACCCTGTATAGGGTTTCCAAGGAGCAGCTGGTGAGCTTGAACCACTGACCTTGCAGTTCAAACGACTTGGCAGTCTAACGCATTAGCCCACAGCGCCACACCAGGACTCCAATGTGGAAAAAAACAGACTAAAAATGAGTCACTCACACCTGAAGCTGCAAGTGTCCCCCTCGATGCCGTCAGTACCTAGAGCATAATGGGCTTTTATCAAGTGTTTGGTGAACAAAAGAAGAGGAAAGATTGCATCTGTACTACCTCCAGAGAAAGCATCTGAGAAAGGTCCTGAAGGAGGGAGGTCTTACCCCAGTCACCAGAGAGCAGTGCCCTCTGCCCCCACTCCCTTGCACTGCACTACTGAGTAACTGTCCACAGCCAGCATCACGCCTACATGAAGTACCACCAAGCCCAGCTCCTCACCCAGCCAGCAGCCAACTGTCTTATCTGTCTTGACTGCTGCTTCCCCAGCTGTTCCTGCCACCACTGCCGCGGGCCTAATCTCAGCTGCAGTAGGAGTGGGGACATGAGCACCCACTGCTGAGGACTCAGTGGTGGCAGCTGAGTGATTGGAGGGCACCCAGCTGCCTGCTGCTAGGCTACTGTCAATGAGTAGTGGCTGCCACCTCTGGGCTTCCTGAGCTGCAGACATCCTAGAGCTGTCCAGGACCTCTTGCGTTCCCTCTTCCCTCCCTCCACTCGCAACAGACTGAATTGGGGACCACTGTAGGATTAGGAAAACAGTGTCAAGAAGCAGCATCCCTCCAAAATGCAGACAGGGAACCCAAGAAATTGAAACTGGATGAAAAGAGGTTGAGCACAATCATCATTAGAAAAATTAATCAGAGATGCTGTGGGGAGATGGGGACAGAAATGTAAGATTAGAGTCAAAGACCAAAGACTGGAGGGCCATGAAGACCTAAGGGAAATGTGACCGACAGGGGCGTAGTTAAGCACAGGAGCTTGATGAATACAAAACGGGGGGAGGGGACCTACACAGAACCTGGGACCAGGATTAAAGGAAAATGAAAAAACGGACTAGCACCGCTTCCTGGGGCCTCCCAACCTGGTACTGCATTAATTTCCCCAGAAACCAGCACTCCAGAAACTGAAGGCAGAGTGTGGAGGCCATCTAGCGGCCGGGGTCGGAAGAAAGGAAAAGTTGCTGTTCGGAGGAAGGGCGCCTCCTGGGGGACCGGGGGCAGAAGACAGAGCAGCCACCTGTACTCACGGGGATGGCCGGATGCGTGGAGAGTTGGACGGTAGAGGGACGAAGAATTGGCTGAATGGATATGAATGTCCATCGGAAAGAGGAGGAAAGCTCAGAGAAATCATAGAGGGATCCTGTGGGCGACCCGAGATGTCTGGCCCCAGCAAGCAGAAGCAAGCGGCTGGGGTTTGGAACCGCTGACCGGCAGAGGGAGGGGCCAAATTGTCTGGAGGGGGAAAGGCAAAGAGAGGGAGCCATCTGGTGTCTGGAGGTGGAAGACAGAGTGAGTGTCTGGTGTCTGGGAAATGGGAAGTGGGTGAGATGAAAGGAAAAGGGGAAGTGGGAGGGGGGAGGCGCGGAGAGCGTCGCTCCTCCGGGTATCTCGGCTGGGCGCCCTGGAATACGGAGTCCTGAGCTCCTAAGACAATGCATACAAACTGCGCTTGCTTTTTGTCCCTATTCCCCACCACCACCACCCTCAATCCACGACAGGGAAAAAATGCTCCGGAAGAAAGCGTCAGTGGAGAATTTTACAGTGATTTGTCCATCATTCTTTGAATCCGGAGGATCCGGCCAAGCCCCTGAAAAACGGCCGCTGGCAGGCTCTCTGGGGTTTCCAGGGAAGGCTGAAGATAACGAGGAAGAAGGTGGCCTCGCGCCAGTCCTCACGGGAAGCCTACACGGGAACCCAAGCGCTGTGCCCGGCCGCGTCCCCTTCCTGGTCTCTAGCGAAGAGGGAGGGACCGCGCCTCCGGAGTCACACTCAGCTCTTTCCTGATCCAGGCCCCCAGCTCACTGCGCCCACTGCGTTCCCGCAGCACGGACTCTCTTCAGCTTGGTCTTTCGCTTTTAAAACCCAAGTCTCACGCCCAGCACTTTGCGGGTGTTAAGATTTTTCCACGTGCGTTTATTGCCTGCACCGGACGCGCGTCTCCCCAACGTGTCTGCGCCGCCTGAGCCCCGCTGGCCGCTGAGTGCACGCGCGGCCAGCAACCTTAGCGTCTCCGGCCTCTGCCCGCAGGGTCGCCGCCCGGACGCGCCGCCCAGTTCAGACACCTAGGTCTTTAAGGGAGGGTGCGAAGAGTGAAAAAGAACCGGGAAAGGAAAAGTCACTGGGGCAGGAGGCGATGCCAAGGCGGAGGAGGGTGATCAAAAGGTTTGCAAGTATCCCACACGGTCCGGATCGCTTCTTAAGCCCCGGCACTATTTAGTGATATTACATCAACACTTGCTCCCCAAAGTAACCACATCAAACAAGCCGACCCGCTTTGGTATAGAACGTTATATCTTTTTTTGTATCAATTTTTCCTGGGTGCACACACACACACACTGGACAATAAACTAAGCCCCAGTTTATCAACAGAGTTGTATTGTCTCCAGCTAATTGGAGAACTCTTAGTTCCTGCCTGAGTCTTTCTTGATAAAACTGAGTGCTGCCTTCCCACCTTGTCCAGAGGTCAGTGCTCGTCCTAAGGCCTGTTATTTTTATTCTCCAAAAAGCACAGACTAGAAAAGAGTGAGGTGGGGTGGGGTAACATGTCAACCTTTGGAAAGGAGCATTGGTGGATAATGTTGGTGTCTTTAAACTGAAGCTAGATATCTCTTAAGACGCCCCCCCCCCTTCCAAAGAAAAAGTTTTTTTGAAGTGGGGACGTTGATGGACTGCTGACAACTTCCCATTGTTTTGATGGTTGAACTTTCAGATTTGTTCTCCTCACTCCACTGTGATGGTTTGGGGTCAAGGCAGAACTCTGAACTTCACGGTATCTGATTACTTCTCAGGGTCAGTATTTTTATTCCACAGGAATAGCCCTTATTCCCTTGCCCCACTCTAGAAGAATTATTGTATGTGAGTGGACTAGGGGAAGGCTTAGCAGGAGGGTTAGTTCTTTAAAGGGAGGAGTGTCTGATTTTATTTTTCTGGTTTAATTAGTGTGTGTTTTCTGGAAGAAGTGTAAGGATTGAGGACTCATATTGTGGACAGTTGGACACTAGGACACCTTTATTTAACCAGAACATGGGTTCCTCCAAGCCTCCTTCCTGTACCCCATTAGGCTGCAGTGTCCATTATGTGTCCACTCCATGTAAAAGCCAGCACTGGACACCATAGCAAGGAGTCTTAATTTAACATTACATTCATCCCTTGTCCCTGCACTTTGCTCTATCGATCTGTGGGGGTGGTGTTTGCAAAGCCTTGCCCACTCCTGCCCTCCAAGCACAATGAGCCTCCACCCACAGCACACACAAGTGCAGATTCCCTTCCCATAGCTGAGGGTGTCCAGCACCCAAGACACACTTTGCCCCTGGACTCTGAAAGTACCTTCCTCACATCTTCAGAGGTGTCAGAAACAATGCATTGATACAAGGACAATAAAGTGGCAGTATTTTGAAGTTTTTCTGCTTTGAGTTGTGGTCACTCATAATTATTCTCCTTCCAAGGACACTGAACATTCAGGCAGAGGGGGCTCAGATGCCTCTTTCATTAACAGTCAGGGAGACCTGGCCTGAATGCTAAAATCTTAATTTGAAATAAGAGCTGACAAATGCATGAAGGGATATTTGTTTGATGATCAAAGCTTTGGGGGGGTCGACACTCTCCTTTAGAAACTTAAGTTGATTTTAGCTGAAACACCTACCATTCTTAAAAAAGTAAAGGGAGAAGCTCATAGATCCACACAAAGCAGGGTATAATTGATGTTAACCCAATAAATATGCCTCCACCCTCCCTCCCACCTTTGTTTTAGTAAAGTTTTTTTTTGTTGTTGTTTTTGTTTTTTTTTTTTTAACTCGGAGCCTTCAGGTGAAAATAAAGCAGCAGCAGCAACAGAGAAAAAAAAATGTAGCCTTTTTGAGGGTTAAACATCAGAAGACAAGCTTGTGTTGCCTTGGCCAATCAGATACGCCCCTGCCAGCTATAATATAGTACTAAAGGCAGCCTCTCTCACAAGCGTCTCTAGGCTTGCTACCATTTAAAATCAGACTCTTTTTGTCTTTTGATTGCTGTCTCGAGACCCAACTCCGATGTGTTCCGTTATCAGCGACCGGCAGCCTGCCATTCCAGCACCTGTCTGGCTGGGGATCGGTGGAGAGTCCCACGCAGCGGCGGCGGGCAAGGTTATATAGGAAGAGAAAGAGAGCGAGGGAGAGAACGAGGGAGCAATCGAGAGCCGGAGCGAGAAAGGGAGAGCGCAAGAGAGAGCGAACACGCACACGCGCGCACACACACGCGCACACACACAGACACACACGGGAGAGCTTGTAAGTAATTGGGCTCCATGGACGAGATGCTGCTCCTGGCGAGATGTATGGTGGTAGTCCTCGTCTCCTCGCTCCTGCTGTGCTCAGGGTTGGCGTGCGGACCTGGCAGGGGATTTGGAAAGAGGAGGCACCCCAAAAAGCTGACCCCTCTAGCCTACAAACAGTTTATCCCCAATGTGGCCGAGAAGACCCTAGGGGCCAGTGGAAGATACGAAGGGAAGATCTCGAGAAACTCCGAGCGATTTAAGGAACTCACCCCCAATTACAACCCTGACATCATATTTAAGGATGAAGAAAACACCGGAGCTGATCGGCTGATGACTCAGGTAGAAACCCAGCGCTGGGGCGTGGAATGTGTTTCTTTAAAGGGGGCTACGTAGAACGCGAAGCCTTTCTAGACTTGGTCTTTTTGCTTTTTAAGCAAATGCAAAGGTGATTTCACTCTCTCCTTCCCCACCCTCCTTCCTACCCACCTGCCACCCCTTCCTCTTCCTGGAGGAATGGAGGCTGTGGGTCCAGAAGTTTAGGGTATGGGCGGGGGTGAGGACGTTTAGGGATGTGATCCTATTTATGGCCTTGGTTTCATTTCAGTCTTACCAGGATGGCCTTATCCATCCCGGCCCTGCTGTGGCTTGTAACTTGGAGCGACCTTCACTTTTAGGGAGTCTGTCTTTTCTAAGTCTGCAGCTTTACTGTAGAGTCAAGAGTGGAGACTTGGGGAAGGGGGCGGGAATCCACACAGACACACACACACATACACACAACATAAAGTGGCCTCCAGGTTACTGCTACAAATATAGACTTGAAGCATTAGATCTCCAAGCTCAGACTTTCTCCCTCTCTTCTGTGGTAGTCTCCTGACTACCTCCCACCCTACCGCCCCCCACCAAAGAATCTTCCGTTGGAAAAGCCTAGGAGGCGATTCTGACAAAAGGCAATGGCTTAGGAGGCGGCTCTGGTTGTCCATGACTGTATCCTATAGCTTGCATTGCGATTCCATCGAGAGCAATTGTGCCCATCGGAGTGTGAACATATTGATATTTCTTTTAAGGATGCTCTTTCATTCTCCCAAGCCGAGGTACCGTAGGGGAGGGACTTATAACTTATTGGCATTACATCACTCCAGTTTTCAATCTGCTTGCACAGAAATTACAAGGGAATAAATATTAGTGGAAAGTGGATGGAAAGCAAAACATTAATCCCTTTCCCTGTCCACCTCCTTTGAGACATTTAAGCTAAAAATCTACCTGCCGATTCTAGACTTTCTGAAACTCCATGCATACATACATAGCTGAAGCTAGAAATGAGTTTCCTTGCAAATATAGGTCAACATCATTTTTATTGCCCTATTAAAATATTCAAGTCCTACCTTTAGGGCTAGAAGCGCGCAGGCTGACTGAGCGTCG